ATAAGGGAAGGAAAATAGTTGGATTAAAAATTGCTTGAACAACCTGTGCACATCGTGCAAGATATTTTGGTGGAAGTCGAGAAAATATTTCTTCCAACAAGAAATCTGGTAATGTTGCCCATCCATCATGATGGTTGAAAATATAGCTCGAGTATTCTGCCACCATTCATTGAGCTTTTCTTTTCCAAATTTAGGCCAAAAAAAAGAGCTTAAAAGAAGAACGACAATAACATTGCTGTGATTCTATCAAACAGTACAGTAGCCAAAATACAAAGTTAAAAAAAGTTGAAGATGAAACAAAGAATAAATGAAATGAATCAGCAAAATTCCTTTGTTTTTCTTCATTCTTTATTTTTTATTCTCCTTATTTATTCACTGATATATAAATATCTAAAAAATAATTTGAAAAAAAAAAAGAAAAAAAAAAGAGAAGGGAAATCTTACAGTTATCAATGGTTGTTTAGAATCGTTAATGAAACGAGTAGCATTTGGTAGTCCAATGTCCAATTTGGTTGATAATCAATGGTATCGATGATTGACCATTGTATATTTTACAGTAAATTATCAGTGAAACAATGTAACTGTTTAAATAATTTTGCAAATATTTACAGCTGATAAAAGGGCAAACGGAGAAAAAAAAAAGAACCCCACTGCAATTATGCAGATAAAATGAAAACAGAAACAAAAACAGATCAATGATATGTATTAAAGTTTTTAACAAAAACTGTTTTATATTTTTAATAGATGGCAAACGAAAAAAAGGAAAAAAAATTGAAGGAGAAAAAATGTTTCCCAAAATTTTTCTGTATACAGTGATAAAGTTGTTTATTCTATTCAGAATATCCAATCCATTTTGACACTCCTCTTTTTGGTGCTTCTCTTCTTTGTTTTTTTTTTTTTTATCCACCAAAACAGCTGTTTGTTCTTTGCTTCTTCTTTCCCTTTTTCTTTTTTCTTCTTCTTCATTTTTTGGTCAGTTTCAGAAGTTGACAACTGGATGGTGTTTATTTTTGAAGTAGAAGGGAAGGGAAAGAAATAACGGATAATTTTTTCCTCTATATTTTTGTGTGTGTGTGTGTGTATATATTTAGCACCATATTTTATTCATGCTTTTTTCGGTTTTCGTTTTTTTTTCTTTCTTTTTCGGAAAATAAAAATTTCTTACTTCCTCCCTCGTCTTCTTCATTGCCCTCCCCACTTTGCACATTTTCCGTTCCATATACCCGATGCCTTTGTTCCAATTCACGCAGTTCAAATAGTGAACAAAAATAATGTCAAAAAAGAAAAAGCGGAAAAAAAAGTGTTTCATTGCTTATTCAAATTTTCTACAAAACCAAAATACCACCGCCACCAACAACAAATCCATCTTTTATTTGAAAAGAAAAAAAAATCAAAAAAAAGTTGAATGAAAAGTTATAACACAGTGATAAAACAATTATAGATTTTATTTTTGTCAAAACTGTTTAAACATATAATAATGCAAAGGGAAAAAAAAA